AAAACCAAATACAAAGTCCTCTGGCTATGAAACAGGAGCAGGTCTCTGCGTCTTTGGGCCCAGCACAGATGTTCAGTGAGAGCCCACGCGGGTTTGTGAGCAGTGGGGAAAGGGGATTGCTCAAATCGCCTCCAAGCTCCATGCAAAGAAAATCCACGCAACCAAACCAAAGAAAACCCAAACCTAATCGTGTTTATTTCTTATTTCCCCCTTTATTTCTCCCTGTTCTTCCTTATTCCCAGCTCTCCCTGCAGGTACTTTGGTCTTGAGTCTCTGGCATGGCAATAGACAGCATTTATCTTCAGGCACAGATGAAGCTGAACTAATTTCAGACACTTTTTTTCCTTAGTCATCACAAAAGACTGTTTAAGACAAAGATCATTCTCACTGATGTCTCCTGTTCGAGAGGTGTGTTGCTTTGTTTGAGGTCCACCATCCCTCCCAAGCAGATCCTCCTCCAGGGACCCCCCTCAATATTTGGGGGTCCAGAGTGAGCAGCTGCTCCCACCCCCTGGGAATGGAGGGTGAGGGACTGGGTTTGGGAGAACAGGGTTGTTTTTCTTCTAGAGGAGTTCAGTTTTCAGTATAGAATATAAGATGTTGGCAGTTTTTAAGAACGAAGTTCAGAAAGCTTCATAGTGTTAAATATTAATTCATATTTCTCAATGTCAACTCTTTAGCATACCAGGAAAATAAAAGGATAATAGTAAATAAAAGGTGAATAATGCCGATTCAGAGAGCCATTTGTGTTTGAAATGAGATCCCTGGAGCACAACGGTTAGTTCAGCCTTGGCTTGTGGCTACTCTGAGTAAGAGCATTTAAAGCCATTGGGCTGGAGGACTCGTTGCAGCACGTGGAGTTTTCGTACCTTGGAGGGGCCGGTGGCTTTCCCCGTGTCTGGTCTCTGTGGGCAAGGCTGGTTTTGTGGCCATCGATGTGGTTTTAGGCATTCCCGCTCCCACGTGAGTAATAGCACGCGAACAGCTCTGGGCTTTTGTGTATGAGGTTCCTTGGGGGAAACCTGCTGAAGGAGGCACCAGAAATGTCAAACACATCCATCTGCAAACATTTTAGCCTAATGTCCTCTCCAGTAGCAGGATGCCGTGCTGGTCCTTGAGCAGGACGCACAGGTATGGTATTTGGTGCTGTTGCTGCTGGCATCTTCTCCAGGTCGTGCTCATGATGGCTCGGTGGGGTAGGGGCTCTTACTGGTGTTACCGTGCCCCTTCAAAGAGCCCAAACTAAACTGTTGGTGAGGGCCACACGTGGCCTTTCCCACAGCCCACCTCTGCTTTAGCCAACTGGTAGCTTGTGTGGGATGAAACGGGCTGCGAATCAGTGGAAGAGCAGCAAGGGATGCAGTAGCTGCCGGCAGGAAGGCAGAGCTCACGCCTGCTCCCCTGCTCCAGTGCTATGAAACCGGCAGCAGAGCTCGAGCTTCATCCTGACCCTTGTCCAGCTCGAAGCGCTGTTTTAAGCTGAGAATAAAATGGAGATGTGCTGCCTTCCCCACAGCGCCGGGCAGCCTGCAGATGTGGGTCCTCCCTTGTGTTTTGGATCTGACACAAGAGAATAGGCTTTGGGGGTGTAAGTAGGGATTTCTGTAACTCTTCATGTTGTATACCTGAGTGCATTGCCATTGCTCCTCTGGGAATTCTCAGGATCCTCACAAGGCAGCAAGTCCCCAGGGTGGATGGATGGGGAGAGGGCTAGGAAGGCCACAGCTGCAGGGATTTACAACCTTCTCCCCTGATGCTGATGTCAGCTGGGTACCACATCACACCCATCTTTATTGCTCTGGTACTTATGGTGGTCTGGGACCTCATCCCCAGTTTTCTGACGCCTCTGGTAGCCCTGCAGCTGGTGGGATTTTGGTGGATGAAGGTTGTGGTGCTGCTGGGCAGAGCTAACACGAGTCAAGGGAGTCATGTTCTCAGCATGGCCTGTGCAACCTGCGCAGGGATGTGGGGAGCCTTGGGGCTTTAGGGGATCCCTGCCTCTGGAGAAGAGCCGGGTGTCTTGTCCAGGTGCCACTGGAGGTGCTGGGTACAGAGTGGGGACAGCTGTTGCAGGGCCATGCAGATCTCCAGGTCTTCCCACTGGAGAACTGCTTGGATCTGGCACTTTTTGACTGGGAGAAGTGGGAGCATCACCCAAGCTGTGGTTCCAGCTCTTCCCTGCTCTGAGCCATCCCTTGATGCCCCACAGGGATATGCTCTGTTTCCTTCTTTCGTGCCCTTCTTTCTGACTCCTCTTCTCTGCTTTCTCCCCCACTTACCATCACCTTTTCTCTTCCAACAGTAAATCCATCTTGTCCTGTGAGATTCCTCTGAACCCATAGTGTTGCCGTGTAGCATTCCCTCTGTGGACAAGGTCTTCTTGTTATTTTTCATAAGGATGACTCTTGCCAGGACGGGTTTCAGCTCCTAAAACCAACTGAAAATGAGACTTGAGGATCAGAGCGCGCAGTGCTCTTCCGTACACAGCCCTCAGCTCAGTCCCTGAACCATCAGATGGGGTATTTCCACAGCTCTCCGGGCTGGGGTTGGCCATGTCAAGGGAGACATGAGCTCCTCTGAGCTGCCCCCACTCGAAAGCAGAGCTGTCCTGGAAAATCACTGCGTTGTTCCCCACCAAGCCGTGACCTCTCTGGTGTCACTGTCAGAGGGGACAGCGAGTGCCTGGCCCTGGCGCAGGCGGTGGGCTTCTGCAGAGCACCCGCTCCCACCAGCTCTCGACAACGGTCTCCAAAGGAGGCTTTCGTTTTTGTTCTGCCTTTCATAAATATCCTTTTTTTCCTCTCAATCATTACCATTTTAAGCAGATGGTGGGCCTATTATGTAACTGAGCAGAAGGCTTCGTTACAAAATTTAGCCAAATTGGGTGCTTCTTCAGATAAGACTAAACAGCAACTCATTTCTGGGGTTTTCGGCCCTCCCTGTTCTACTTTGAGTTTGGAGGATGAAGTTATTCTAGGGGGTGAGATCAATGGAAACCTTCCTCAGTTATTAATAACTCGCTCGAGCCTTGAAGAAATCGTAGGAAAGCCCAAAGGCAAGATGTAGTAAAAACGAAGCTGTCCCTGGGAGGTTGTGGGATGAGCCTAGGGGGCTCAGCATCGCTCCCAGGTTCTTGTGTTGCCCATAGCAGCTGGGGGCATATGGATCCCCCAGGCTGGGGGTGTGTGGGATGCCATCAGGGGTTCCTTCATCCCTGACCGTGCGACTTTTGCTTTGGGCGGACGAGGGAAGTGCACTGGGTGTGATTTTCAGGAGCAGTCCCTTTGGTTCCCAGTTCACGGGGGTAAATATCCAACCTAGAAGAGCAATACCAGGGAGACCTGCTGCAGCCTCTCCTGGTCCTACCCCGGCTGGCCTGAAAAACCACCCAGCCATAGGGTATCGAAAGCCTGAAGCATCCCACGTGTGTTTTGATAATACAATTTAAATCCACCAGTTTTTGACGTGCTGCGGAAAGCCAGCATTTGTGCTCTTGTTGCGTGCTCCAGTCGATTCCCAGAAGAGCAGGGTGTTCCTGGGAAAGTGGAAAATCAATTCAAGGGCATGTTCAAAGCAGGAGGCAGGCTGAAGAAACCCAATCTCCCCCAAAAGCATCAATCAAATCAAGTGTGCCAGAGCAGACGGCTCCCAGGATGAGTGCTCCTGGGGTGTCCAGAGCTGATTCCAGGGGAGCCACGGGAGATTTGGCTCTTTTGGCACATCACTTGAGGTAAAGCTGGAGGTTTTTCATTGAATCCTAGACAGCATTTTTAAGAAAGCAGGTTTTAGTGCAAGCATAGCTCTGTGCTTCTGATGTGAGCCGTATCCCTGCTGCTGCAGCCCCGGTTTGTGCTGCCGAGCCTTGTCCTTGTCCTCCCCTCCGTCCCCTGGGCTGTGCTTCGTGACGGTCCCTATTTGCTGGGTGATGGCTTGGCTCTGCCTTCCTGGAGTTTCTGGGGAAGGAGCTGCTGCTGAGCAGAGACCTGCTGTGGTTGCTGGACACTTGATGCTGCCGTTTGCTGCAGGCCAGCTCGCTGCATCTGTGTGAGCCGTTGCATTTGCTGCTCCAGACCGTTGCTGCTTCCTTGCAGCTGACCCATGGTGCTTCGTGCTTGGGTAACTTCCAGACCAAGGCATAACTAGGACCTCCGAAAGGAAGAGGCCAGAAATAGCTATTCTAGACTCAAGGGCTGTGGTTTATACTGGCTGCTTCGGCCACCAGGATCTCTACATTACACCCTGACCTAAATTCATTGCCATCGTGCTGCTGGCAGCGATTGCATGACAAGTGTGTCTGCAGCTTCCAGCCATGGCTGGGTCTCTGGTTGGGCTGGATGGCCACCACCAGCAAAAAGTCATCTGCGTGAAAACCCACCAGCCCAGTGAAACCTGCTAGCCTGAAATGCTCCAAAACCCCTGCCTTGGTGTGCTTGCTGCAACCAGTTATTAAAAACTCCTCGCCTGGATAGCTCTGAGGCTGGAAAAGAGGGAGAAACTCACCAAAACCCGCTGTCCTCTGTCTGTTTTTCAAAGCGGTGTAGCCAGGGCTGCCGGTGCTTCCTGGCTGGCTCCAGCATCGTTGGCCCCCGGCATGGTTTGAAGCACTGTGCAGACCAAGAATTGGTGCAGCAGGTAACCAGCCTCGTGGTTTAAGCTGGTTTTTTACACCAAGGAGGGGTTTCCCTACTGTGCATTAGTACCCACACACAGCATAGGAAAGGAGTGTGTAATTAAGACAATAAGCTTAGAAATATTAACTGTGAAATACGTAGTCACGCAGCGGAGATCAAGTTAATAAGTGTTAAATGGACAAATAAAAGGCGTCAGCAAATGCACACACTACCTGCAAAGTCCTGCTGGCAGTGTCTTGGTCTGGGTCTCGCTTTCTTTAACCTTATTTATGAATTACAGCTGACAAGGGAATAAGCAACCTGTTGGAGGGTTTATTTGAAGCATAATATTAATATTGCATTTTTTTTTTATATTCCTTCCATCCCCAGGATTGAAAAAACGTACCAGGAAGGCCTTTGGTATACGCAAGAAAGAAAAGGATACTGACTCCACGTAAGTCGATGAGACCTTAATCCCATCAATATGTAACGGTACCGGGGAGCAGTCGATGCCGGTGTGCCGGGACGGGAAGGAAGTCGGTGCCTCGTGGGCGTTTGTCATCCTGGCATCAGGTCTTGTAAGAACAAACACGTTGAAGCTGTTTCCCCTTGTACACCCAGTGGCCAACAAATTTGATTTTTTTTCTCGGTGGTGCTGCAGAGATGGTAAAGCCAGTTCTCCACGTGTTCGCAATTTACGGCGACGGTTAGCGGTGATCAGCAGAAAATTACTCCTCAGAGAGTTTCAGCAGATTAATCTCTGCCCAAACTACTGATTTGCCCGTCTGCCGAGATCTCTTTAGATGCAAATTCAATTTTAAACAGATGCCTGTGCAGGCAGCGAGGCTGTCGGCGGAGCGAGGGGCCGTGTGGCTGGGACGCCTCGGGTGCACCGGGCTCACTGAGCGCAAGCTGTGCTGCAAGAGACGCTTCTACTTCCCAGGGAAACATCTGGCAGGGGGTTTCCCCCCCCCTCTGGGGGGGGGTGCTGTGCCCGGGGGGCGAAT